CTGAATCCCAAAGCTGTGCCTATCAATGTGACTGGAACAAGGGAGCACCTCAAGGTAAACTCAAGTGCACTCATTGCCCAGCCTGGCCCTGGCTGGAGGTGGCAGTGGTTGAGAAAAGGGTACAGGGCTCTCAAATTTGAGGTTCTTTTTCCTCTGAGCTTAACTTCCTCTTGAGGTACTTGACAGTGTTATAGGTGTGTATACCTTCAGCTGGAGCTGCATCTTCCTTCTGCACACCAAATGACTGCACTGTCACTCAAGACACCTGTGGTGTGCAGAGGAGGTCATCCTGTCCCTGAGCCTGGAAAATGTGAAACTGTCACCTGCAACCTGCTGGGCAAGTGGGCCTGCCCAAGTTCAATTACAACAATTTTTATGTAGTTGATTAAAGCTTGTTTTCTAAGCTATGTCTCATTACTTGGGACTCCATGCCAAGAGGGCTTATACTGGCTATTCTAGCTGCCTGGCACAGAGCTGTGATGAGGTGCTTACTTTCTTGTCCCTTTCAATAAACACTGAATCTCCCAAAGTGATGTCAGATAGGGCTTTGTACTGACAGTTGGTCCAGCCTAGAAGTCTGACCTCTGGTGCAGGCAGCTGGTAGGTGCCCTTGTCTCATCTCATGTACTGGCTGACACCTGTTCAAATTCAGACCTGGAAAATGCTAGGCATAGCATCCCACCCCTGTGTACTCCATGCACATGTGCTCACTGCTCTCAACAGACTGGTGTTAGCCCTTGTGCCCCCAAAACACTTTACTGGACACCTTTGATGAAAGGCAGGGAAGAGAGGGTGCCCTCATCCCCATTCCACTGAGCTTCCTGCTGGTGAAGCCACCTTAGTAGGAGGGCCACACTACCCATAGCCTGGGTACCTACACTGCTCTATACAATGGTCAGTCCATTGCCTGTAGTCCCCAGTAGCCCAGAACAATGCAGGGAAATAGAGGGGAAGGCATTCAAGCCATCCAATAATTTCCCCACCTATAGCCACATGATGACCAAGGATAAGGTCTGGCACTCAGGCACTGGGCCTCTACTTTCTATTGCAAAGTGCTGGCTGACAAAAGGCCTTGAATATCCACAGCATTCAAGGCTAGGGAACAGGCCCCTGGGCACTGTAGACAGGAACATCAGTGATATTCTCCCCTCTAATGAGGGGAACACATTTCAGGTGGGATTGAAAAGCTGCCCATGGGTCAGCTCTGGGCTGTCTGGCCATCTCATCCCCTTCTATCAATGGAAGCCCCCTTATAGCATGGGACAAAATTCACACGGACAAGTAGTACACATACCAGTCATCTTTTATTGGATGTGAATTCTCGACTGGGATATGAAAGTACTCAAGATCCTTTGGAGGGGTGCCAAGCCAAGGAGATGAGGGTCTGATTCAGTGTATGACCTCCATGCTGGCCCTCTTCAGTGGTATTTACGTCGCCGCTCGTGTTCTGAAGACAAAACAGTAAGTGTCTTAAAAGGCATTCTAGGGAAAGCACAAGATGACAGAGAAGGCAACAGGCTATAATCAAACAGCCTTCCTGAAAAATTCCTTTCAGGAGATGACTCAAAACTCCTTTCCAGTGTTTTAGCAGACCTGGAGCACTAGGGGACCTCAGAAACCAACCCTGTTACCTGGCCAGCCTTTTACTTATTTTATTTATTTATTTAGAGAATTATTTATTTTAATTTGACCAGAGAGACAGAGAAAGTGCCATGTGGGACTGTCCATTGCCTTAACTACCACACTTCCTACAGGTCCTCCAGCCAGCCTTTTTCTTTCCAGAAGGAGTATCTGCTTAAACAGCCCCCATGAGCTTGTATTCTCTGGCAGGAGTTGGACACTCAGAAGAAGCCCATGAAACCCAGTCAGAGGCCATCACTGACACCATTCACAGCATCTTCCACCAAGCACCTCTCAGGTCTCAGAGCCGATAGAAGCCATGCTTTTCCAGAGTGCTATACAGACATTAGATTGTACAACTCAACCTATTTTACTCCATACTGATTACTAACCCAAATTTTAGCAGAACTTGTATTATCTTATAGAATGCTTTGTAAGTTTTTATTCTGAGAAAAGAGAAAATACCCCAAGTAGTATTAACACTGCAGTGCACTCCAGCCAGTCCTGGATCACAGGCATACATGTGCCTGGAATACTCAGGGAGGTCTCCAGACTTGAACTGGGAACCTTGCCATATAAGTGCACTGTAGAACATTGTATTCTACCATTGTGTTTTACCACTGCATCACTGGCCCCAATAATGCTGTGTTTCCTAAATATTAACTCATCCTTAGCTTCCTCTTGTTTTTACATTTCTTGTCATAATTTTCAAACTGAAAACCCATGTACTGTATTCTAGTAAGTCCCTCCAATTCTTTTAGGTGGAGTGGAGGTCAGGAACATAGTAACAGTCCATTTGCTGACAGGAATCGGTACATGGCTATAGAGGTACTCACTGAGTTCCTTATAGGAAAGGCAGTAGCTGAAGAGCACATAAGCAGCCAGCACCATAGAAACCCCAGCAACACCCCCTTTCTTCACGTTGACGTACTTGTTGTAATACCGGTAGTAACCTGCAAACAGAAGTGGCACTCACTGCCCTGCTCTGCTGTGAAATTTTCAGACCATGCACAGTAGAGTCTGGTTGGAATTCAGGTACTCGCTTTAGCTATGGCTCTTTAAGCCACTCATCTTGATGAGAATCAAAACACAAATGCCCCACCTCTTAAAAAAGTCTTGTACTGTACTGGGGATAGGTACCAGCAGTTAGCATGATGGCTATGTCGCTGGACTCCCATGTAGCCAACCGTGGTTCAAGTCCCAGACCCAGTGGCTTAAACTCACGCCGGGCGCATGTGCCTGCATGCCCAAGATCCTGAGAGAATGGAAGAGAAGGGATTGTGGCGTGGCCATCCCCCGTGGGAGGGGGATTTCTTGCTCTCTGTCTCTGTCTGTCTCTCTCTGGCAAGCACATGCGCCCTATAGCAAAAACCTCTCCAAAATAAAAAGGCTTGGGATATAGAAATGCCCATAGATATTTAAGACAAAGGCAAAAATACTGATTCCAAGCAACAGAAAACACTTTCCTGACTGAAAATTCTCTAAGTCAGCCTATTATAGGGCAAATCACAGGAATTCAAGCCTGAACAACTCCCCATCCTTGTCCACCTAATTTACTGGTTTGAAATAGGACTTTTTTGCCTCAATTAATTCATAACAAAAAGAAGGCCCAGAGAGTTGCTTTCTTTATATATTCTTAAAGCTCTGACCTCTCTGAAATGCTCCAGCAATGCCTTTAGGGGTAAAATCCCGCATCAGTATCCAGCTTGGCAGCTCCCCGAGTTTGACATCCATGAGTTTCTTTTCCTTTACTGGTACTGAAAGTAAAAGAACAAGAACACGAACACATCCACTGAATAATTGTCCAATGATACAGATACTATCCTTTTACATTACTTCCACTAGACAATGAAGGTGCATGACATAACTACACAGAAGCTGCACATAAATATTATGAATAAATGTCTATATTATAATGGTAAAATTGCTGCAGTGAAAGGCCAGCAGTTGGCAGGGTGGTTAAGGTGCTAGAATCCCACACAACCAATCACAGTTCAAGTCCCAGACCCGGCAGTTTGCTTTCTCGCTTTCTCTGTCCCTCTGGTGAGCACACACGCCCTGTAGCAAATTTAAGAATAATAATAACAGTAAAATAAATATATTTTTTAAAATTGCTGCAGTGAAAGATTTATTTAATGACAAGAAGTCTGAATAACAGGTTTCTGGGAGTAACAAAAAAAGATACTAAGGGAACAAGCGGGTGGTGTGGTGGTTAAGGTGCTGGATGCTCCCACATGGCTGACCACGGTTCAAATCCTGGACCTGGTGGCTTGCTTTCTCACCCTCTCTGTGTGTGTGTCTCTTTGGTCAAAATAAAAATAAATGAATGAATAAATAAAGTTAAATAAATAATTAAAAATAATGTTTAAAAAAAATACTAAGGGCTAGGAGAAAGCAAGCAATAACGTGGAGGACAGGTTACTATAAAACAAGTTTATACAAATTAGCTTATTTAATCATCACAACAAATGATACTTTCGCCTTATGGGGATGGGGATGTAGGGAAGGAGACACTGGCCAATATCGCATAGAGGATGAAGGCAGCACTCACCCTTCCAACTGAACCCATAGGCTTCTGGAGCCAACCTGAAGGTGAAGTGGGTGACCTGGAGCTGGAGTGAGTGTAGAAGAACATGTGACATGCCCTCCAGTATCTCATTCTGGACACACTTGATTATTAGAGAAGGGCTTTAAGGAGCACCTGGATTCATACAGCTGCCAACCTCTCTAACATGTCAGCCTAAGTTCAATAAAATAAACCTAAGGAATTTCTACCTCAATGAATTTCCTACCTGGGACTACAGAGGTCAATGATTTCCAGAGATGGAAATAAGAGATTACACATTCCAAAAAGTCTGAAGATTCAAATGAATCAGTAGGCCGTAGTCACATTTCAATGAGAGTCTGAGGACAAAGAGTAGGAAGGACTTCTGCTTGAGGCCATACTGTACTTATCTCTGGGCCCAATAGAGAGGGCTGGGAAGGGGGCAGACCTGCCGGTGTCCAGGAAATGCACAGAGAAGAGAATGCTCCTCCCATCTTACCCACAATCATGTTTTATTTTAAAAAGCTCTTAGGCCCAGGTGTAGTAGCACAAGCTGCTAAGATGCTGTGCTCCAGGGCCAGAAGGTAGCATGGTGGTTAAGATGCTGGACTCCCACCGGGCTGACCACAGTTTGAGTCCCAGACCTAATGACTTGAAGATTATGCTGGCCATGTGTGCATGTACAAATCCCAGGAGGAAAATGGAGAAGGGACTGCAGTATGGCCAACCCACTTCCTCACCCCCCATTAGGGGTGATTTCTCACTTTCTGTCTCTCTCTGATGAGTGCACACACCCTATGGGAGAAAAAAGATGCTGTGCTGCACAGGCTAGACCATGGGAGGCCTGGATTAATTCATTTCTGGTCCAAGCTAAATGTTGAATATAGTGGTGCATACTTAGAATCCCAGCAAGAGACTGAAGTAGGACTGTGAGCTCAAAGACAGCCTGGACAACACAGTAAAAGCCTGTCTTTTAAAATAAAAAAAATAATAAATAAATTTTTAAAAAACCAGACCCAGGCGTGGTGGTGTGTAACTACAGTCCCAGCAACCCAGGGGGCTGATGCTGAAGAGTATCTACACAGCAAGACTGTTTTAATGTTTTAATTAGACAAAAAAAAAAAAAACCTTTTAGAAGATGTCATCTTCAAGTTGTCACACCATCATCTTTTTTTCCCAATTTTGCTATACGGTGCATGTAATCATCAGAGAGAGACAGAAAGAAAGACAGGGAAAGTGGTATCCAAACCCCCAGGGAGATGGCCATGCCACAATCCTCTCTCCTTCTCTCAAGAGAATAACTCTTGGGATTCTGGGCATGCATGCACACGGGTCCAGCATGTTTTTCAAATCTCTGGTGTGAGTCTTGAACCACAAGTCAGCCATGTGAGATCCAGCCACCCTAACTACCACACAATCAACTGGCCAACTGGCCCACCACTGTCCTTTTTTGTTTTTTTGGTTTTTTTTCCAGAGATTTTTGTTATAAGGGGGCATGCACTCACTGGAGAGACTGAAAAAGACAGAAATAGAAAGTGAGAAATCACCACCCAGGGGGGATGGCCACACCTCAATCTCTTCTCCATTCTCCTCTCAGCATTTTGGACATGCACGCACATGCACCTGGCATGAATTTCAAGCTGCTGGGTCCAAGATTTGAACCACTATCGACCACAGGGAGTCCAGCACCTTAACCACTATACCACTTGCTGGCCCCCCTACTGTCCTTTCTTAAAAATGACCAGCCTCACAAAGAGTCATAGTAATTCACACTAAGGTTGCTCTCCATTTTGAGATCCAACGAAAGACTCGGGCTCCTTCAAGAACAGCCTTAAGAGTCCACTGCGGGTCTCCTGCCATGTCCCAACACAACATGAGCAAGGGCTCTTAGGCCAGAAACAGAAATCCCTCTAATCTGCTCTGGGTCATCTGCAGAATTAGACACATGGCCTTGATGACAGTCAAGACTGAGTTCCTGTCCAGAGACCACAAGTGACAGGTAAAAGCATAAGCCTGACTTGCAGCGCATAGCCACTGGGACACTTTTAAGATGACTTTAAGATTACTGTTGAGGGGGAACCAGCAGTTAGTGTAATGGCCATGTCGCTGGACTCCCACATAGTCGACCGCGGTTCGTGTCCTGGACCTGGTGGCTTAAAACTCACGCCGGTTGCGTGTGCGTGCGTGCCCAAGATCCCGAGAGGAGAATGGAGGAGAAGGGATTGTGGCGTGACCATCCCCCCTGGGGGGTGATTTCTCGCTTTCTATCTCTAATGTCTCTCTCTGTCTGTCTGGCGAGCACACGTGCCCTATAGCGAAAAACCTCTCAAAAAAAAAAAAAAGATTACTGTTGAGGATGGCTACCCTTAACAAACTGCCCTCAGCCTTTCATCTAGCTACACTGAATAAACATTGCTGTATGCCAGGGAGCACGCTAAGTACTGTAGATACAGCACAGACCACAAAGGAAGGCCTTGCTCTCAAAGAACGAACATTCTACAGATAGAATAATAATCTTCATCCTACTCGATTTCCTGGGCTTACCACATTTCAACCGAACCCCTTTATATTTCTCAATATGCAAGAGGGTTATTCTTACTTATGAGTCTTTGTATTTGCAATGTCCAGAGATTATCACAGGTTTATCTGAAATGTCTTCTCAGAAGCCAACTTTCCCTAGCTGCCCTATCTCAAGCACCACCACTTCCTTCTCATATAAACACTTGAGCTCCAGTTTTCTCATCTATGAAAAGGCTTATTCCAGGGATTAAATGGGAATTGATGCTGGGTGCTGTCATTTGGAACAGCACCCAGAACACCATAAACGGTTGTTATTACTGTTGAAGTTATACGTAAAACATAAAAGGGGAAGGCTAGAGATGGCATATAACATTTACTTATTTTTAAAATTCACTACAGAGCATACACACTTGCCAGAGAGAGAAAGAGAGAACAGGGATCCAAACCGCACAGCCATGTAGGATCCTGATACCTTAAGCGCCAGACCAAAAAGCCAGTCCCAGAAGACATTTCAAACAAGGAATTTCAGAAATTAATCATACCCCTTGTTTTTTTTATTTTTGTTGATAGAGAACACACATACACATGTAAGAAAAAGTTAGAGAGAGAGAAGCATCCTCATAGGGCTAGGTCACACAATCCCTTTTCTCCAGTCCTCTGGCTCGCCAGGGTCCTTCATGTGTACACAGGTCTGACATGTTTCAGGTTGACTAAGCCAAGGATTCAAATCACGTTCATTCAGCATGTGGCTTCCAGCTATAGTCTGGTACTACTGGGCCAAAGTGGCAGGGACCCTCTTTAGTTCTTTTACAAAGAAAACTGTGACTAGTTTGGGAATATCTGTAAAATGTGGGATAGTATCAAAAATATCATTCCTCTCCCACCGTAAAAACAGAACAAAACAAAAATGCAAATTTCAGCATCGGTTCCAAATCTGTTGGTGAGTTTAATGCCAATGAAATTAAGCTCAACACCAAACAATAATGTCATCCAAGTATGACTTACACACTTCTGTCATGTTGCCTATATTGTGCACAGAAAAAAATTTTTTTAACATTTACTTATTTATTTGTTGTGATTTTCATGCTACCAGGCCTGGGACTTAAATTGAGGATGACCATGTAGGAGTCTAGTACCTCAACCACCAGACCACCTACTGGTCCCATGTTTTGCAAAATTTATCAAGAGTCAACATTTTTAAATTTATTATTCTATTTAGCTCTGTACTCTGAAGACAAGAGTGTTTCCTTAATAAAAAAAAAAAAATTATAAGCACAGGGGGAAAAATTCACTAGCTTTAAGGAGAGCAAAGTATAGCACTATCACAAAACTCCAAGGGACCATTCAAATTTAGAGGTACATCCACCTATACTCCAATAATTTCTCTTTTAGTGGAAGATAAAGGTCTTTAAAATGGGATCAATGGGGAACCTGCAGTTAGCGTAATGGCTATGTCGCTGGATTCTCACGTAGTCGACCGCGGTTCGCGTCCCGGACCCGGTGGCTTAAAACTCACGCGGGGCACGTGTGCATGCGTGCCCAAGATCCCGAGAGGAGAATGGAGGAGAAGGGATTGCAGCGTGGCCATCCCCCCTGGGGGGTGATTTCTTGCTTTCTGTCTCTATGTCTCTGTCTGTCTGGCGAGCGCACGCGCCCTATAGCAAAAAACCACTCAAAAAAAAAAAAAAAGGGATCAATGTTCCGGACATTGACTCCCTGACAAGACTACAGTGAAAACCGAAAGCTAAAACAACTTTCTGTATTCCAAAAAAAGAAAGAAAGAGGGGGGCCAGCAGGTGGTGTGGTGGTTAAGGGCACTGGACTCCCACATGGCCATCTGTGGTTTGAGTCCTGGACCTGATGGCTCGCTTTCTCTCTTTCTCTCTCTCTCTCTCTGTCCCTCTCTGGTCAAAATAAAATAAAAGGTAAATAAAATAATAGAAAAAAAAAAAGAAAGAAATCATGCATGTTACTGGTGCCGTAGGTGGCATGGTGATTGAGGGCGTTGCACTTCCACATGGCCGCCTATGGTTCAAATCCCAGACCTGGCGGCTTGCTTTCTCACTTTCTCGCTCTCTTACTCTGTCTCTCTCTGGTCAAGTTAAAATAAATAAATAAATTTATAAATGGTAAATAGATAAAGAAAGGTAAACACATGCATGTTATCAAGCCAGATGATCATAAAAATATTCCTATTAAAGTTTATTAAACTTGAGGCTCCAGAACCCGAGGCTTCTTGAATTTCAGTTCAGACTCTCGTGACCTTGAATAGGTGACTTCACCTCTCTAAGCCCGGTCAATATACATGCATGGCATCTTACGTGGTGTCAGGCACCGTCCTGGGCATTAGCTCCTCATGAAGCTTAATCTGAGCTTCAGAATTGGGGAGGACAGAAGCTGCACGTAAGGTTCAAGTGCACAGCGCCTGGGTTGCCGCGGGGAGGGGAGTAGTTAACTATTCCTTAGTGGAGAGAAGGAAAGCAGCCCGTTGAGGCACTCACAGACTAGGAAGCGCGTACCCAAGCTGCCCTCACCCACCACGCAGATCCTGGGTAGCGCGAGCACAGGGCACCGGGAAGCCGCCGCAGGGTGAGCGGAGGAGACAGCAAATAGCGCTGCAGGAAAGGTCCGGAGCGCCTCAGGCAAGACCCCGGCTTACGGAGCGCCCCAGGCAAGACCCCGGCTTACTCCCTGAACAACGAGCAGGCAGTTCTGCAGCTCTCTTCCCTTCCGGTGTGGCTCTGGCCTAGACCCCGTTCTTGCCTCCAACGCAGCGTCCAAAAAGCTCTGCCCCGGGCCGAGAGAGAACTCACCGACTGACGCCATCTTGGAGTCCTGGTGTCCGCTGCACAGACCGCGCAAGGGCTGCTGGTTACGGAGCACGCGCCCCAGCGGGCGCGGGGAGCAGAGGCTCACGGGAAGCAGGTCATGAGTGGTCCAAGGCAGAGCTGCGAGACCGCCATGAAGCGAAGGGCGATGTCCCCGGAAGGCAAAGACCGGGGACCTTACCTAAGACAGGGGTGCCCGGGCTCTCTGATTATGAGAAGTGGAAGGGACCAACGAAAATAAAGGGCAGGGCAACAGGTGGTGTGGAGGTTAAGGCGCTGAATCCCAGAACCCACCAACGCAGCTGGAGGCCCAGACCTGGAGGCTTGAAAATCGCTCACGTCCCCGAAGTCCTGAGAGGAGAATGAGACCATAGCGGCATGCCTTCCCCCCTTTCCGGGGGGTTGAATTCTCACTTTCCCTCTCTTTCTCTCTGGTCAGTGCATGCACCCTAAAGTAACAAAAGAAAAAAAGGGAAAGGGGGTGGGGGGGACAACGGGACCAGCAGATGGCGTAATGGTTACGTAGTTGGACTCCCATGTAGAAGACCTGTGTGAGTGTGTGTGTGTGTGTGTGTGTGTGTGTGCGCGCGCGCAAATTCCCAGAGGAGACTAGAGGAGAAGGGATTGTGGCGTGTCGGAGGTGGGAGGATTTCTCACATTCTGTCTTGCTATCTCTCTTTCTGGAAAGGGCGCACATCCTATAGAAAAATCTCTAAGAAAAAAAAAAAGACAAAAACGGGAAAAGGGCATACTGGCCTTGCCCTAAAATTTGTTGTGAGAACTGAGAGGGACACATCAAAGACCCTTCCAGCTATGGTGAATGGGAGGTATGCTCTAAATCTCAAGGAATTCACAGGCACCAGAAAAAGCTGATGCATGGCTTTATCTCCAGATAGCTTTGATTCAAGAGCACCTACATGTGTAGACTCTCCACAGGCCCACAGGCTAATGGCAAAGATAAAGAAGACACTGTTTAAAGTGGTAAGGGTAGAGGGGCCAGCAGGTGGCAAGGTAAGGTTAAGGCACTGGATTCCATGTGGCTGACCATGGTTGGAGTCCTGGACCTGGTGGCTTGGTTTCTCACTTTCCTTCTTGCTGTCTTTCTTCCTCTCTCTCTCTCTCTGACTCTCTCTGGTGAATGCGTGTGTACCATAGGAAACTAATAATAATAATAATTAAATATTTTTTAAGTGGTAAGGGCAGGTTTTAATCAGTAATATACTTTTCCAATAGGAAAAAAAAATGTCTAGCACTGGAGCCAAGAGGTGATGTGGTGGTTGGATCCAAGGACTCCCACATTTTTTTTTTTTTTTTGGAGAGGTTTTTGCTATAGGGCGCATGTGCTCGCCAGACAGACAGAGACAGAAAGCAAGAAATCACCCCCAGGGGGGATGGTCACGCCGCAATCCCTTCTCCTCCATTCTCCTCTCGGGATCTTGGGAACGTACGCACACACACCCGCCGTGTTTAAGCCACCGGGTCCAGGACACGAACCGCAGTCGACTACATGGGAGTCCAGCGACAGAGCCATTACACTAACTGCTGGTCCTGGGACTCCCACATTTCTGACAGCAGTCTGAGTACTAGACCTGAAGCTTGCTTTCTCACTTTCTCTCTCTATGGTGAACGTGCGTGCCTGATAGCAAATTGAACAAAATAATAATAGATATATTTTTAAAAGTCTAGCATGAGTTTTACTCCAATTTGTACAGAAGGAACCAGTTGGAGGTTGGCGGGGTGGAGAGCAGATGGCAGACCACAGATCTGTGCCGGATCTGGCAGCTTGCTTTCTCACTTTCTCTTTCCTTCTCTCTGGTCAAATTTTAAAAATAATAATTAGGGATTGTCAGGTGGTGTGGTGGTTAACAGAGCTGGATTCCCACATGGCTGACAGTGGTTTGAGTCCCGGATCTGGTGGCTTGTTTTCTTGTTTTCCCTTTCTCTCTCTCTCTAGTCAAATTAGAAACTAATAATAACAAGTGGAAGTAAATAATTAAAAAAATAATAAATACAAATTTTTTTTCTTTTTTTTGGAGAGGTTTTTGCTATAGGGCATGTTCACTTTGCCAGAAAGAGACAGAAAGACAGAAAGCAAGAAATACCCCCCCAGGGGGGATGGCCACACCACAGTCTCTTCTCCTCCATTCTCCTCTTTGGATCTTGGGCACGCACGCACACGTGCCCAGCGTGAGTTTAAGCCACCGGGTCCGGGACTTGAACCGTGGTCACCTACATGGGAGTCCAGCAACATAGCCATTATACCAACTGCTGGTCCCTAAATAAATAAGTCTTAAAAGAGAGAGAGAGAGAGGGGCCAGCAGATGGAGTGGTAGTTAAGGTGCTGGGCTCCCCATATGGCTAACCATGGTTTGAGTCCCAGACCTGGCAGCTTACTTTCTCACTTTGTCTCTCTCTGGTGAGTACATGAGCTGTATAGCAAATTAGATAATAATGATGATAATAAATAAGATAAACTTTTTAAAAAATGAGGGAATAGGGGAGGGAAGTGAGCAGGAACTCATTAGCACCAGGGAAGGGAAACGTTACAAAAAGTAATAAGAGGGATTGATCCAAGTAAAACCCATCTGGGTGTGCTTGGTAAAACCCTAACTTTCATAAGAGCCTACCCTCCAACACCAATTGGGAGACAAAGGCCTTATCCTCAGGCGTTGGCTAGAACAAACTGGAAGTTCTTTTGGTAGCCTTCAGTTCTCTCAAGCAGGCATTATAAGGAGGGTACGATCATCCTAGAGACAGGGCCTTGGGCTGTTAGAAGTTTCTCTTGATAGGCCAAGAGTGAGGCTTAGTTCAGACAGGAGCTCAGAGGAGCTTGTATGAGAAAGAAGGATAGACAGAGAGAGTAGCATCCTTAACAGGGTTTTGTCCCACTGTGATCCCAGCCCTACAGACCTCCGACTTTGTCAGAATCTTGGGCACATACACATATGCACCTGGTATGTTTTAAAGCCAAGCAGAGTATCCAAATCCCACATCAGCCATATGGCTTCCAGCACCACATTTCAGTTTGCCACCAACTGCACCACCAGTCTGTGCTGAAAATTAAAAAAATATTTAAAAAAATTAAAACATATATATAAAAATGTGTGAGACACAGTTTAAACAATACTTATGGAGAAATATGTAGCATTCAATTTCTTTTTTTTTTTAGAATTTTTTTTAAATTTGGGACCAGCAGTTAGCATAATGGCTATGTTGCTGGAGTCCCACGTAGTCGACCGCCATTCGCATCCTGGACCCGGCAGCTTAAAAAACTCACGCCGGGCACCTGTGCCTGCATGCCCAAGATCCCGAGAGGAGAACGGAGGAGAAGGGATTGCGGTGTGGCCATCCCTCCTGGGGGGTGATTTCTTAATTGAACTTTATTTATTTATTTTAGTTTGACCAGAGAGGGACAGAGTGAGAGAGAGAAAGTGAGAACCCAAGCTCCCAGATCCGGGACTCAAACCACAGTAGACCATGTGGGAATCCAGCGCACTTAACCACCACACCACCTACCAGCAACCCCCCCCCCTTTTTTTTTGAGAGGTTTTTGCTATAGGGAGCATGCATTCACCAGAAAGACAGAGACAGAGAGACAGAAAGCAAGAAATCACCCCCAAGGGGAGATGGCCACGCCATAATTCCTTCTCCTCCATTCTCCTCTTGGGATCTTGGGCACACTCGCAAATGTGCCCGGCCTGTTTAAGCCACTGGGTCTGGGACTCGAACCATGGTTGACTACATGGGAGTCCAGTGACATAGCCATTACGCCAAATACTGGTCCCCTTGTTTTTTAAAAAAATAATTATTTTATTGGGCTAGCAGGTGGTGTGGTGGTTAAGGGCGCTGGATTCCCATATGGCCAACCACAGTTCAAGTCCCGGACCTGGTAGGTTGCTTTCTCACTTTCTTTATCTCTGGTCAAATAAAAAATAATAATAACAAATGAACATAAATAATTTTTTGTGGGGAACCGCCCACATCAAAATGGCTGCCATGACCTTCACTGCTTAAAATGGCCGGTGCGACCTTGACACAGACACCAGGAACACAGAACTTCCTGGTTCAGACAAACTGACAGGTCCTCAATTAGGTCCACTGTAAACCCCACCTACTTTCTCCTGCCTTGTGTATATAAGAAAGTGCTCTAGCCCTCAATAAAGGAGCGAAACCTTCATACCATCAAGAGCTGTGACACTGTGTGAGCTGTGATACTTATTTCGCTCCCATGCTGAGACGCTGCGCCGGTTCCAGACCTCTGCCCCCTCGCTCGAGTTCTCTGCCCGATAGGTCCCGCAGGCCGGGGTATGAGAGAGAAAGTAAGAAAGCAAGCCACTGGGTCTGGGACTCAAACCACAGTCAGGCATGTGGGAGTCCAGCATCCTTAACCACCACACCACCTGCCAGTCCTCAATTTCCTTTTTTAATAGATTTTTGCTGCTCTCTGGGCTCAGACCTAGTTGGCGGCGATATGGCTAAACACACCAAGAAGGTCGGCATCGTCGGTAAATAGGGGACCCATTATGGTGCCTCACTCCAGAAAATGGTGAAGAAAACTGAAATCAGCCAGCACGCCAAGTACACCTGCTTCTTCTGTGGCAAAACTAAGATGAAGAGATGAGCTGTGGGGATCTGGCACTTGGTTCCTGCATGAAAACGGTAGCCGGTGGTGCCTGGACCTGTGCCACCACTTTGGCTGTCACAGTAAAGCCTGCCATCAGCAGACTGAAGGAATTGAAAGGCAAGTAGAAGCTCCATAGACATTTGGAATATCACTAGCCTACAATAAATGGATTGATTTATGTTAAAAAAAAATTAGATTTTTGCTATAGGGTGTGTGCACTCACCGGAGAGAGAGAGGGACAGAAAGTGAGAAATTATCCCCCAGGGAGGATGGCCACACAGCAGTCCCTTCTCCTCCATTCTCCTCTTGAGATTTTGGGCATGCACACACACATGTCTGGTGTGAGTTTTAAGCTGCTAGGTCTGAGGCTCAAACCATGACTACTGGTCCCTTTTTTTTTTTTTAAGGTTTTTGCCACAGGGTGCATGGGCTTGCTGTAGAGAGAGACAGTGAGAAAGAAAATGAGAAATCACCCCCAGGGGGAATGGCCACATCACACTCTCTTCTCTTCCATTCTCCTCCTGGGGTTCTAGGCATGCATGCACACACACCTGGTGTAATCCTCAAGCCGCCGGGTCCAGGACTCTAACTGTGGTTGGCCATGTGGGAGTCCTATGCCTTCACCATGCCACCTGCTGGCTCCTCATTTTCAATATTAGTTTTTAAAAAAAAGTCTCAAATTTAACAATCTAACTTTCACATAAGGGGGGGGGGGACCTAAACCCAAATAAAGTAGAATGGAAATAAAAATCAGGGCTGAAAT